ATGGGACCAGGTGGGGCAGTGATTTGGGGGGCTGGGGGAGTGGCCAGGGGATGGCGCTGGGTGGGCAGCGATCTGGGGGGCTCTCTGCCAGAGGGGCTCTGTGGAGGACCCGAGCTTCCATTTCCTCAGGTCATGGCCAGGGACCATGCCCTACCCTGCTTTCTTCTCCCGGGGTATTTTTTGACCCGTGGATATCCAGGGGTCTAATTTTTTCCTTGCACTGAAAATTTGCAGCGTGAGGAACCTTTTTTTGTTCCTGCATGTGCCTCTTGCAGCATCTCAAATGGCTTTGAGGCACTGCAAGGGGCACATGTGCCCTTGTCTGTACATGCCCTTTGTGGCTAACCCTAAGGTGTTACAGTGAATCCTTATGATTTTGTTGGGATTTCAAAGTCTAATTAACTCAAGTATGCCTAGTGATTCCTTTGCCATAGAAAACTAGAGCCAGAGTTTCTCTTTAATATAATTATTCTCAAAACTCGTAATTTCCCATCATTAAAGCAAATTAGCAAGTTTCTATTTCATTATTTATATTTAAGTATACTGATTGCAGTTACACAATACCTTTACAAACTTGCTTCAGATTAGAAATATTAGCTGTGTTTTAAAGTTGACTATTGTCCCTTTTTGGTAATGTAGTGCTTTAGATTAGCATATTGTATGTCTGCTCATTCACATTCAGATTTTTGTGAATAATGGCTTATTTCGTGTTTTTTTTCCTTTGAAAGTACCTCTGTTCTTCAGGCAGGGGAAGTAATCTCCTGCAGTTCTCCTTAATTTTTGTAGGGACTTTTAAAAAGTAAATTTTTGATCTCACCTAAAAATAGCTGGTTAACTGGAAAAGCAAGAAAGCATGTAGAGTTCAAGACCATATTTTTAGTCATAAGTTTAACTTTAATTTTGTTACCTCTTAGATTTGTGATCTTTGACATTAAACATATTTCTGGATCTAGAGTGCATAGGTAATCTCATAAATTGTTCACCTAGGATATGTCTACGTTCTTTGTGAGCCATGCTAGCTAGCCCTGTTGTGAAACACAGCACACATGCTCTGTATGTGCTGTAGCAGAAAAAAACACCTGCTATTACAGCAGCCCTGGGTGTTCACCAAACAACTGTTACACTATAACCTGAAAAAAATATGAACTGTATGTGGAATACATATGTCCTGCTTAGCTGCCACTTTTCCTAGCACAGGTGGAAGCATTGTAGGCATGCTTCTAGTGGCCATGCATAAATTGCCCTAAATAATTTCTAATCTCAATAATTGCCAAAAGAAGAAAAGGTATTGTTAAGTGTATAATTTGTGTTGATTCTTTTAGGAAAGCAAAGATAATATATAAGCACAACAGGCTGTGTTGTCTAAGCAGTATGTAATAGACTGTTGACATTTAAAACAATGTAATGTACTATTGTGTATTTTTTTATGATTCTTAGGCTTGCTAAATTCCTTTTGAAGTAAATGGGAGTTTCATCTGCACAAGGGCAGCAGGATTGTATTCCCTGACATTAAATAACACAAAGGGTTACCCACCCAGTTGTTCCTGTTGTAATTCTAGTTCTACTGGGTAACAGTATGCAAGAAATAGTGTAATTGGTTCATTTTAAAATTAACAAATAGGTTTGTCTAGAACTCCTGGTTTAAAACTACTATCATATGAGATCTGTTTTATTCTCTGAAAATATTTGTTTAGCAAGCAAATAACAAAAATGAAACATTAGAATTTTACTTTGTGGGACTGATTCTCATTTCTGTTAATTTGGTATAATTCAGTACCAGAAGAGTTAATCTACATTTACAAGAGGTGTAAATAGTGATTAGAGCCTGGCCCTTTGAAGACTCTTTGTTAAATAGACTCGTAAAATAGTAGAATGATTGTTTACCTATTTTTTGTCTTTGCACAGTTTAAATCAAAGCTGGTTGTGTTCTTTTGTTGCTAATGGAGGGTGTTTTACTATACTTCATGGTGTTTGGGTGGCATTTGATATCTTCTTCTTACTCATAGCCTCCTTTGATGGGGAAAAACACGCCATCAATCTTCCTTCTGTAAACAGTGCATCGTTTGTCCTTCGGTTCTTGGAGAAACTCTGTCACAGCCTGCAGTGCGATAATCTTTTTAGTAGCCAGCCCTTCAGCCCTTACATGGGGAGTGCACACAGTCCTACAGAATATGACAAGAGTAAACCAGGTAATGCTAAATTACACCAGCTTTTTTCCCCCAAGTTCAAGCTGTTTTGGGATCTATGATGATTTTGCATTATTTTGCTTTTCACTGTGCCTCATTATAACTGGAATCGATTAAAACTATTGCTTTATGGTTCTTAGTGAAATGACTTCTAGTGTGTTACTGCTTTGGAGGGGTGTCACAGGATGGGGTCCCTACGGAAGGCCGTGTTGCCCCTAGGGCCCTGTGACCGAGCCAGCTTTGCCCTACAGGCACCTTCTATTCTTTTCTGCCACATCACCTGCCACGTCTTGATGGTTAAGATAATAGATGCTAGATAGGGAGGCTGCCCTCAAGTTGCTATTCAGTCATGGTCCTGGTGGACCCCACTAAACTGTGTGGTTCTTAGACCCCTTGCTGGGTCCCATTCTAAGTAAGTGCCTCGCAGGACATCCCAGCCCTTATGGGCTAGATGCATGGCTCCAAAACGGTCCCTTTACTATGCCCCATGCCTCGCAGGTGATATTCATACATCCCTCTGAGGCCTTGATGTAGCTCGGCCTCCTGTCATCCCTGGGCCCTTGGCCCCTGTCTACGCGCCCTCACCGGTGCTAGGCTCTCTGCGGCCCCTGTCTACGCGCCCTCACCGGTGCTAGGCTCTCTGCAGCCCCTGTCGCTGTGCCCTCACTGGTGCTGGGGCTCTGCATGGTAGTGTGCCCCAATAGCCTCAGTCCAGTTTACCGGATTAAAAGCAACAACATTAATATGAACCCCTGGGCTATAACATATCAGCAACCATAACCCTGGAGGTCACACTCTGTCCCTTTAAGAGGGTCAGTTTCTCCCTCAACAATGCATGCCTCCTAGCCCCAGATACTTTAGGAGCTCCTAAACCTCATTAGTCTCACCAGGAGCAGCACAGGCACCCAGGTATCTTCGTGGAGCTTTTCTGCATGAACTCCACTCCCCTTGGCAGCTGCTAGGGCCGTAACTGCCTTCAGTCCCCAGCCCTAGGGCTTATATGGGCTCAGGGCCCTGCCTTCCTCCCGTCAGCTGACCAGGTGCAGGTGCGGGCTAATTCCCTCATTAGCCTGCTGCCACGGCAGCCTGCATCTGTGGGGTTTCTGCCTGGCTCCTAGGGCCCTCTCTATGAAATTTCTGCCCTTAAAGGAGCAGGCACCTTAGTGCCCTATGACAAGGGGATGGGGCACTTACATGTGCAGAAATCAGTTTGTTCAGCAAGCTGAAACTTCACATTCTATTAGCTTGGTTTATGCTCACAAGGAAAATTAAACTTATAAAAATACTTCTTGTTGCTTGCTCAAAGAGGGGAGAGAGGGGCAGTACTTCCCTATACAATAAACTCAAGACGATAATTTCCTTTACAGTGAAAAGTACTCCCTCCTGCTCAAGAGAGCTAATGCCCTCTTTTCCTCCTTTAACAGCACCAGAGAATTTACACTGTAGTGTATAATCTTATTATAAGCTGGGAGAGCAACCATTTTTTTCAAAGTGCTGCTGAAAGTACTCTATGGTAGTATGGACCAATCTTTTCAGCAGGTGTGCCACAAATTATCCCCCACCCTCCTCAAGTACCACTCTGATCCCCTTATCCTGCCTGATCTGCTGCCCCCCCTTTCTGCTTCCTGATCTGTTGCTCTGCTTTTTGCTCTCTATCCTATCTGCCAATGTGGTGCCTGTCCCCTTCACAATCTGCCCCTTCACACACATGCATGCACACACACATGCTGCATATGCCACTGACAGCATGCGTGCTAAAGGTTGGCTAGTCCTGGTATATGGAATGAGTAGCCCACTAAGGCAGAATAGCTCCATATGTCTTAATTGCAGGGAAGGAAATGGAGTCCTTTCAATGCACATATAATGAAGGTCATTGGAATTACAAGTATGAGTCTTTTGGACTTCCATACATTGCTAGCCAAAATAGAAAACAGAAATAGAGTAAGTCTAGGAGGCCAAATTGATGTTTCCCAATACTGTAGCTTTTGATTTTCAGTTAAACATTTTTAGTGGAAATGTAACTACTATCTATAGGGTATATTATATTTGGTTTGTATATAACACTTCTCAGTTATAGCTCTCAAAGCACTTTATAAAGCAGGTCACTGTCATTGTTTCAATTTTACAAATGGAAATTGTGACAGTGAGAGTAAAGCAGGCCAGTGGATATTAAAATTGTGCTATGACAGGCCCAGTCCAGTATTTTAAGGATTAAGCCATAACTACAAATATTTGACATTAGTGCAGCTTCAGATTCTAAAGTGAGAAGCTTCTGATGATTATATGGAAACTAATATGTTCCTTCTTCCCTTACTCCCTCCCAATTATGCACCCCTCCCCCTTGCTTATAGAGCTAATGTTTTAAACTGGCTATGATCTGGCTGTAATTTCAAAATTTCTCTAGATAAGGTGAAAAAATAAAATACATATTCCATTAAGCATCCTTTATATTGTTTGTAATCAAGGACGGTTTTCTGAGCTCTCCTCAGGGTGAACATAAATCAAGGTAATTTGGGTGATAACTTTCTAAACCAAATATATATTTTAGTCCTGAAAGTTTGTGTGGAAACAATTAAATATACAGGTTAATAAATCATTATTGAAGGCTTATGGGTGATGCTTCAACATGGTGTAAACTACAACTTTTCGTGAATTGTGCTGCAAGAAGATGAGAAAAGGCAATATGGAAAACAATCTTAAGATCCAATGAATGAATATAAGACACTTTCACCTCATTTCTGTGTCTTTCTCCTCTTTCTTTTCCTCTCCCCCCATTTTTATTAGTTCTAACATGAAATGAATTTTTCTGTTTCCAGCAAAAGAGGAAATATCAGAAAACAGAATTACGAAACGTTTTTCTCAGGATTCTCCACCATACAGTGCCCCTCTTTCTCCTAAACTGCCCAGAACTGAAGTTCACCCATCTGAAGGTAACTCTCCATCACTTTGCATGAGGGTTATTTGTAATATTTCTAACAAGAGAAGCAACTACATCCAATTTGTTTAACTTTAGCCATAACCTTTGATAGCGTATGCATGTTCACTGTATGATGTAATATGTGTAGGTGGCAATTACTGGTGAGGGGGCACAAATATTGAGCTAGTGTACATTTTTAGTTCCTTTGTTGGGCTCTTGCCTAATGTTTTTCAGGATTTAAGGGCCCTTTGCAGCCAGTTGATGGATGAAGTTGTTTGTATGCAGCAACTTATTAAAATCCATTGAATACTAACTTGTATTAAAATAAGATAGAAAATAAACCAAAATACTATAATAACCGATGTAAAAAATAGTCTCTGTCCAACTGATGTATAACAGTGGTTGTAGGCTGCCTAATTTGCAAGAGTTTCAAAAACAATTAATATTTCAAGATATTTGCAAAGGCCTAGGTGCAATATTAGATTAGATATTTGTAGCCAGAGTTTTCAGAGGTTCTAAGATTTTGGAAAATCCGATTGTCATTGGTGAGAGTTGTGATCTCTGTGGATTGAGTCACGGGGCTGTATTTAGAGAGAAGAGGACACAAAACACTTCAAATTACAATGGATTTGTTTAAGATTGAGTAAGGATTCTTATTCATCTAGTCTTATAATAGTAGAAGTAGGGGGCACAAAAATTCATAGTAAATTTAGAAACTGCTTTGGAAAGAAGGCATTGTTTTATTCATAAAATGCACCCGGTAGAATTGAGTTGAGCATCTGTTGGGTGTGCCCATGAATAGGGATAGCTCACTTGAATATAAGAAAATATAGGCACCCAAATGGGAGCAAAATAAAACTGACAATGTAAACATAGACTGGTTAATTATAGTGTCCAGTATGATTATAGTACTGGAACTGCAGTATCCAGGAAGGGATATTCCACTCTCAAAACAAGCTTTTCCATAAGTGTCACTTTCCAATTTCTGTTCAGTGTACTGATTAAATAACTACATAATAAAAGTAAGATGAATTAACGTATTCTTATACAGTAGTGTGGCTTCCTGGTGTTAAACTAAAATCTATAGGGGAAATAAATGTTTTTACCCTATCTGAAAGTTCAGACTTTTTGCTAAGAAATTTGAATAAAGTGTGTTATGCATTTGAAGAGGCCTTTTATATTTCCCAGCGAACCCCATTAGCCACTGTCCTCCACTGAAAATCCAGAGGTAATTTTATAATAGTCAGTCATGGGATAGTTAACAAGAAAAATCAGCTAAAAAAAAGTTCTGGCTCTGTTGAAACTGTTCTCATGAATTGTTGTTTTGAAATATCTTTTTAAAACAAAATGGAATGTTTGCAGGAAGTCTTCCTTTGGATCTGCTCAGGGATATATTTTGCAGGCTTTTGCTGCCCATTGTGCTTTGGGCAATTTTCTCTTTTAAGTCATGAAGGATAAAGAAACAAAATTGCAACTGACGTGTCCTGCTGCTGCAGGCATGTATCTCTCTCCAGTTTTGTATTAAATAGAACCTTTGACTACCATTTCTAAGTCTGAGAAGAGCTTTTAAAAACAACCTCCCTGCCCGTGGAATTCATACAAACATCGTTAGGCCTTTGTATAATCCAGGTCTGTTTATTACTCTGACTAAAACATCGGAGATTCTGAAATGGAGCTTTCAGCAATATATAAGAAAACTTTTTATCTCACCCTCCTCTCCATAGCTGCTATTACCTCAGACTGTTCAGACGATCCATACAGGGAAAGTTGGACATAATACCAAACTAGTGAAGAAAGATGTAATTGTCAGACTCCAGTTCTGAGTCAGCCCTCTGACCCAGTGATTGTTTGTTAGCGAGATCAGGAGTGGCCTTTGGGCATTCTAGTCACTAAAAGAAAAGCTGTCCGATACCCAGCCTAGTTGCTGACTGGAGGTGCTTAACTAAAGGTGATGACTCTTAAGGGGTGGCTATGTCAGCCTTGCTACCTACCTAGCACATGTTAATTCAGGATAGGTTCAAACATTAATGAAAAGAAAAAAAAATGGGCATAAAATTCCACAGATTGCAATTGCATGGACATTTTGACATCTGTCAGAGGCCAGGCATCCCTCCTTCTCCAAAAGAGTAATGATTACATCATGGGTATAAATGGTTTTCCTATCTGCCAAAGAGATTTTCAGGGTGGCAGTATTGATTTAGAATTTACATGAGCGAGTATGAAACAGACTTTCTAGCTCTTATAGATGCTGCTTTGGCTAGAGGATCATCTGTGGTGCTATTTCACCTTAATTTTCTTTGGAGTGGAAAGTTTTTCCTAACTTTATTCATCATCCTTCTCCTTCTGACTTCTTTTTCAGTGCTGGGTTTGTTTGGCTTTTTACCTACTAATTTTTTCCCTCAAATAGCATCACAATCTATACTTGAGTCAGAATATATTAATTTAACAATTTTCAATAGTTGTAATTTTTTAAATGAAAAAACCCAACATTCAGACCCTTGAGACAAAAGGCCATTTTTTGTCGTATAGCCGCTCCATTCATCAGATTAAGAAGTAGTATTGACAAGTTATAGGTCTAATTATTGAAACAAGAGTACTTTTCAACCATAGGTTTGGATATTTTAGTGTAGATATAATTCTAGTTTATGACATTCAGAAGTCTGTGTCTACCAGAACTACATATTTGGGGAAGAGGGTTACCCATGTTTGAAAACACTGATCAATATTTATTATTTTAGAAATCACTGTTTCCTCTGTGTGGGAATTGTGGCAATTACATATATTCTACTAACTTTAATGATGGCTGCAGATTCTGAAAATAGTATGATTTATAAATATATAATTGCTCATTTGTTTCTGTTTAGAAGTTAAGTTCTTTGTATTACTTACTATTCAGTGAGGGATCTTTTATTTAACTGAGTAATTTCATACAGAACAAACATAACACAGACTTAATGGTTATACTTACTTCTGAGAAAATGTTTAAACTAAGGATGTGCTTCCCAGATCATGATGTCTATGACTGGGATAGCATATTTATCATTATTATCTTTAGAAAATTCTTATAGGTAAGAAATTTGCTCTCTACTCCTGCTCTTCTTTTTTTAAAGAACATAGAATAAATATTTTTATTTGATCCATTGAACTGTATGGCACCCATTCGTGTTGTTAATAATATAACTTGACATGTATTTTAGGAACTTTTTACTGACTACTGAAGAAAAGGAAAATGTTAACTGTAGTAGTACTTGCTTGATAGAAAACTTTGTGACAGCCTTAAAACTTGTTTTAAAGAATTAAATTGGACATAATTAAATAACAGGTTTACAACGTCCAGCATGCTAAACCAGTCTATGTTTGTGTTACTTATAATGTGTAGCAGAAACACTACCTAATGAAGAAAACTGCATCCCCAAAGAACACAGATTTTCTGAGGACCCTCTGGATTCTGTACTCAATTCAATAAGTCCTTCAAGTCCAACCTGTCGAAATTCTACTGAGTATCGTAGCTCAGGAAGCGTAGCATATTACAGGACTTCCCTTCAGCCGGTGACTGCTACCTCAAAGTCAGCCCCAATCCTACGTAGGCTGTCATCGAGTTCTGCTGGGAACACCAGTTACTATGAAGTCAACAGGAATCGAATACAGAGGAGGATTGAAGGTATGATATATGCTTAATCTTTCAAAAATAGTTGCTGACTGTTTTTTAGCAGTATGCAAAGTCATCGGGTTATGGATGATGAAGTAAAGTGCTCTGACGTCCAAAACTTTGCATGCGAGAGGGGTCCATTCATAGCATCTGACAAAGTAGGCAGTAGCCCACAGAAGCTCATGCCTCTCTGAATCAGTTTATAAAATGCCACACTGCCCTGGCTTTTTCATGGTGCTGTTCCCAAATGGAATTTAAGCATGTTAAATTTAATGCAGCTGTACAAGCCAGAAACATGTTGCCTGCTCTCTGGTCTTCTCTCAGCTGTCAAAGACTAAGGCGGAGAGTGCTGGTTACAGTTTCTTTCTGGAGCTCCTCGGACGCTAAAGGTTCACTTCCCCTAGAGAGCATGCCTTACTTCCACAGTATTTCTAGGCACTAGTGTCTTGGAAATCTCAAACTGGTATCTCACGATAGCATGTGGTACTAATACCACCCTGTGTACCCAGAGTTCTGCAAGTTTTCTGAAGAACCTTTTGGAGAAACTTTCGAAGGGAATTCAACTGTTTTTCATTTTAACAAATGAGTGCTATGGGCCAGGATGATCCATTGGGAAAATAGAAGCTGCTACTAAGACAGGTCACCAAGAACATCTGATTTCTCATTAAATGTATTCTTCCTGTAGTGACTTTCAGCGTTTCTTCCTTTTTTCAATAATTCCCTTTAAGCTGCAAGTTCCACAACTGGACCTGATCTCCATGCACTAAAGCGGGAACCCTCCCGAGTACTGAATAAGGATCCTTCCACCTGGTCAATAGATGAAGTAATGCGGTTTGTGAAAGAAGCTGATCCTCAGGCATTAGCCCCACATGCAGAACTCTTCAGGAGACATGTATGATGCCTTTCTGTTTCTGCCTATTTACTAGACTTGAATACATTAGTACTCTGTGTAGGGATTAGTAGTGACTTTCCCTTCTATTACTGTATTTACAAAATGGGAGCAAGGTCCTATGAACAAATTTTGAGAGAGACAGTGAATGATTTGTCTTTCTCAAGAAAGCACCTTCTAGCTGCACAAAGTCTGGGAGCTGCTATCTCAATTTGTTCTCTCCATGCCGTGACCTTGTTCAACTGACCTAAATAGCTGTTACTTACTCAGCTATATGGTCAGTATTTGTTTCCTAGCACTCCATGTTCTCGCAGCAAGCAAGGAGCACCATCCATAGTAGTTTTTAAGGTAGAACCTGTAGCCCACTGAGATGTATCCACTTGTGACTTCGGAAACTTGTGAACCCTAGCCCCCACCTGAGAACGTTTCTGGTCAGTTCTGATAGTCAGTTTGCAGAATGGTCATTGTATCCCTTTATATTAACAGTCAGATACATATCTTAGTTATAGTTAAATCCAATTTACTTAGAAAGAAGAAAAATCTAAAACAAAAATGAAAAAGCATTTCCATGATTTTAGGCAAAACTGCAAAGTTCCACCAAAACTAGCCGGATGATATATTCAGGAAAACCTCCGTTCAGCAGCTGTAACTGTGCCCGGTTTACTCTGCTCTTTGTTTGCTGTGCTAGTTCGTGCCAGGCTGCTTAGTAGAGAGCTGCTCCGTTACCTCAAAAAGTCTCTCTCCAGCTGGAAGTGGCTGGCACTTTTTTTAGTAGATCTATAAGCGAATCACTCGCCCAGCTTCCTTATCAGTGGCAGTCAGCTCTATATTCAGGGTATCCAGCCAGTTTATTTCACATGAGGCAACCTTGTGCCCACAGTAGACGAAATGAGCAAGCAAGCAAACATAACCACAACTGCCATCTTACTTCAGACCTTGAGAGGAGCAACCCAAGTTCTGTGCGTCGTTCTGAACTTCCTCTCACCTCTTACACTCTGCCTCTGGGTCTCTTAGCTCTCTTTATAGCTCTGCCATTATTCCTGAGTCACTAGCAAGGATCCTTTTTTTCTCCGATTTAAAGAAAAAATTCCCAATTTTTGGATTTAAAAAGTACCCCAAAATCCACTTTTTTCTGTGATTAGAATGAAATGCCTCATATATATATATATATATATATGAGGCATTTCATTCTAATCACAGAAAAAAGTGGATTTTGGGGTACTCTTTTTAATCCAAAAATTGGGGATTTTTTTTTCCCCAGAGAAAATGAAGATCCCTAGTCATCAATTGCATCTGGTTCCCAACCTCCCAGGCAGACTAGTGATTGCTAACCACCTGCTGGTGGGCTTCAGCCCCTGAAGGCTAAGCACCAACTTCCAAGACCCAATAGGCCAAATTCTGTGCCGTTTTGAGTTGCATTTATTCCTTTACATCAGGTTACTCTGGCTGTAAAATCGTGCCAAATATTATTTGATGGTAGTTTGCACTTCCTTTTCACTGGTTGTTAATCACAAAGGCTAAATTAACAATTAAACAATTAAAAACATGTGATTGGACCTAGGAGTAAACTAGGTTAGAGGGAATTTCAAAGCATTGTTTCCTTTATCAAATTTCCCTTTTATTTTTCTTTACAGTTTCGTATTATATTTCATGTGTTTTTTATCAGCCTACTGTATTTAAAAATGAGCACAGATTTCATTATGTAGTTGTAAGGAAACACTTGCTGAATTATCAGTATTATGTAAAGCTCTTAATAGTCTACATCTGTCACATTTCAGCAGTTTCTCTTCAAGGCAGTTGAAATTTGTCTGGTTGTCCTTGTTCTTGATCCTAACGTTCCATCTGGTTTCAACCGGACATAGATCTGTCTTATTTCACAGACCTGGGTGATGTGCTATTCTCTTCCTCTCTGTGTGTTGTCTGTGTCCCTGTACAGCTGTTTTCAAGGTTCAGTGCAAGGCCTCAGTGTGTGGGTCATTGTATCTTTAACCAGATTGGCCTTCATCTTTAGATTTTCCTCTTGTCCCAGTTCCTTTTGTTTTGATTAGAGGAGCTGGCTTTCTGGGCCATTTGCTCAATTTCAGATGTAAATATGTGCAGCATCTCAAATGCATAGAAAAGGGTGCATTAGAAAACACTAAAAAAAATTAAACAAAATATTAGTTTAATAGTTTACTGATGTATTAAACTATAGTTAATTACTGATTTATATACTCTACTTTAAAGTTTTATTGCACTACAAATAAATGCACTGTACATTTCAGTTTTATTGTGCATCATGTTAAAGCATTTATGCATTATTGTATTTATTCTCTTCCTTTTACAGGAAATTGATGGGAAAGCACTACTGTTACTGAGGAGTGATATGATAATGAAATATATGGGACTGAAGTTGGGGCCGGCATTAAAGCTATGCTACCACATTGACAGACTTAAACAAGGAAAGTACTAGCCAGTGGGAACACAATAATCTGTGTGTTCATACCATACTTACCTCTCAGGTTCACAGACATGGTCTTTATTTAAAAAGTATTTTGTTGTTGCAAACATTTGCGGTTTGCAGAAGTTTCCTCTCAAAATGTGATAAAATATTTACTAACAAGAAAAAAGGACTATATTACATTTTAGGAACTGATTTGGAAAGGTACACAGGAAAAGGCAGTTAGGACTGTGTTTTTGGGGTTTGTGGGGTTTTCTTTAAGTGATACTTTCATGGACACTATACACAGAAAACTGAGAAATGCATTCTTTTTTACAGACTTCAACTGATACATTCACATTCAAAACCAAAACAGCTGAATCCCAAAGGAAAAACAGCATCAGGTGTTGATAATTTTTACAGGGATGGCTGTAAAATTTTACATTATGAGAAAATTTTAAAGAAGCAGCAGTAAACTTCATCTCTTTTAGTGAATACTCTGTGACTGGTTCTCCAGGAGAGTAATGTTCATTTAGATTATGCTATACAGATTTCCATAAAGGGAATAGACATATGAATGGTTTCATTTGTGTGTGCTTTTAATACAAATATAAGCTTTTATAAAGTGTGGTTATCAGTTCTCTGGTAAATTAGGAGGACAAAAAGTACAGTATGTTGTCAGTTTATACAGGCAACATGTCTGTTTCATGGAAAGGGCATTTTCTCAGCCGTTTTGAACAGCTGATTGTTCTGGGTTGAACAGACGTTTCTCTGGAACAGAACACCTACATTTTAAACATTCCATTTTTCCTGAGCTTGGTGTGGATATATTGATGCTTGTGTGTGTGTGTGCGTGTGTGGTACAAACATATATATACTGTACATATGTATTCAGTTTTTTAAAAGTATTCAAAAGGTACTTTGCACTGCAGCAGAGGAAACAAGAAACTGTATAGTTCAGTTTTTTACTGGTAAATTTTGTTATGTACTATTTTCATATTCATTAACAACTGTCTGTTTCGCTTTTCATTCCTGTGGGGTAAGAAACAATCAGTGAATGGATGGATTCACACAGGAGGGTTCCTTGTACTATGCAACACTCCCTTTCACACATTGATTAGCTCTGAGCCATTTATTCTGGTATAGTATCTGGAAAAATACATTTTAGTTCTCATGTTCATTCTTTTTTGGCTCTTTTTAACTTCCACATTTTGTGCAAGTGGTACTACATACCAGTATACTTTTTTTTTGTATAAACTTGGTGCTGTTTATATAAGCTACAGAATGAGTGCTGATAGTAAAACAATTTGCTGTCACTGCCAATCAAATAAACATCAGGGACAAGAATGTACATTTTCTGTGTAGGAAACTGAATGTACTGTATGTAATAGTGCAAGTGATAAAGAACTACTTACTAGGAAAGGTGTAGTCCTAAAAGGGTAGGTTTTATTATATTTCTTATTGCCTTTTTATATGAAAGCATCTAGTAAAAAAAAAAAAGTATTTTTTACAAATTGCTTTTTGAAAATGCCTTGCTTATTGCTAGTTAAATATTCCTCAGGTTTTTGCAGAACTACTGCAAAATCATACCTTTTGTAGTTCACAAATTGTCAAGTATTTCGTTAAATAACTACAACACACATTTAATATAGCAGTTCATCTGTTTTTTTCAGGATTGTTTTAGTATACTACCATAAAGCATTTGACATTAAGGGTTTTGTATTTTGATTTATTTTTGCATATTTTTGTGTGCATGTATATTAAATGAACAATACACTTTATAGCTAGTAGGAGGCAGAACAATGATTGGGAAAATATAGTATATTTTTTTCTTTGAGTTATGAGATGCCAACTCAAGTTATTGCTTATATATGAAAGAAAATATTGTACTCCAGATATGTTAGGTATATTGTGTATATCAGTGGTGCCCCGCCATGCAGGCCAACATTTTCCAGGCCTGCAGGCCAAATGAGTGGCGTGGGGTCAATCTGTTGGATGGACCCTGTGTGGGGTTGGTTCATGGGTCTGGAAATGTGGAAGCAGTTAATGTTGCCATTGCTTTTCTGCTGTCAAATTTCCAGACCCTTGGGGAGCCCTGCAAGCCTGATGACTAAGCTCTGTGTACCAGATTTGGCCCATGGGCCAGGGGTTGAACACCCCTGTTTTATATGATATTTAATCACTGTTGAGAATTATGTTGAATGAAAAAGAAAAGTACCACTTTCTTAAAATTGTATTGAAAGTACTGTATTCACTCAAAGCTAAGATGAGGCTTTTCTCCTCAGTCACTGCCTGGGGGGGGACCTCTTGTCTTAGATCTGAGTACCAGCCTGGGCCAGATGACAGTTCAGCTCTGGCTTTGGCCCCAGACCTAGAGACAAAGCTGGAGCACTGCTGCCACCTGCCCAAGGCTGGGTGGGGGAGGCAGCACACAGCAGGGGTAGTGGGTAAGAAACCCAAGGGGTAGGGCTTGGGCAGAAGTGCCGGGGGTAGGGTGGCAGGCACAGGTGTAGGGGGGGTAAGTAGGGGCAGGCACTGGAGGGGATGAAGTAACGGGGGGGCACAAGCACACAGAAGGCAAGGGATAGGTGGTAAGGGAGCCACATGGCAGGGGAGCAGATGTGGGGGTTAAGTGGCAAAGGGGGTGGGCAGCGGTGGGGGAAGGGGCAGAGGTGGCAAGCGGCAGATGGGTTAGGCAGCAGAGGATAAGCACATGCAATGGGCAGGCTAGGGATAAGAGGGCAGGTCAGGAAGGTAAGGGGGGTGGGGGCAAGGTGTGGGGGTCTGGCCCATTGCCCCTTGCTGCTGGCTTTGCAGGGACAAATTGAAGATATCCTCCCAATAATTAGATTCTATATAATATGGAAAATTATAACAGATATATAAGTTTTCCATGTATAGAATTTCATTATTGGGATGTTGTCTAAAGTTCAAAGTAATCTTGGATTTGGGTAAATACTGTAATTCAGACAGAAATTACATTCTTGCATTCACCAAATAATGTGTATAAACAAAGATGTTTAAATTTTCTATTTTATACAAGGCTTTTCTGGAACAATGGAGTTTCAGCCTTTTTTCATACATTCCACCATTTGGTATAAATATTTGTAAAGAGTTTTGCCTGCATACATGCATATGAAATCCTAGAATGTCACCAGGCAAGAATTTCACATTGTATTATAGCATGAGATTCAAGCATGAGCTTCAAGATTCATGTGTTGTAACAGATTATATTTTTAATTCTTTATTTTCAACTGGATGTTCTTAACTATAAGCAAAAAAAATAAAATAATTTTTGTGCAGTGTTGCAATTGTTCATTTTATTTGACATATACTTGAACCAAAATTTGCCCAGACAGTTTGCTATATTATCTTTCAGTTTGCAGAGTTTGGCAGTTCATGTAAACTTGTGATACAAAAATGTTTTAATTAAAGAATACACTCGTCAACATTTGTTTATCAAGTTCAGTTAATATCTGTGCTGGGACTGGTCTGTGTTTTTAGGAGAACAGTTTAGAAATATTTTTACAGCATATAGTTATATAGAGTATTTCACCACTCATGGTTCACAGTTTCCATATAAATATCCATTAGTGAGTAAAGGAAGAAGATCCCTTAAAGTTTCTATATGATCTGGAACTGTTTTATATTGCTTTTCCCCCCAAAACTTTAATGGTGATACCTTTTAGATTTAAAAAAAAAATAAATTGAATATCCATCTTGATTAAATGTGGATCAGAATGGGTATATTAGCTGCACTGTAGAAGAACCCCTTGAATCTATATTTGTGCTTCATTATATATAGAGATATAGCTATCTATTCTAAAATCTAGAACATAAATGCCATACTGGGATACCAGGTCAGGCCAATAATCCATGTAGCTTAGTGTTTTATGTCTGACAGTGGCAAGAATGTCGCTTTAGAGGGAGAGCATTGAACTGGGTATATCTAAAATGATCTATCCCCTATTCATTATTTTCCCTTGCATCTGGTATTGGTTTAGAGATGCCAGAGGAAGCATCCCTAACTGTTCTGCCCAACAGCTATTAATGGATCTATTGTCCATGAACTTGTCTGGTCCTTTTTTGAACTTCGTTAAGCTATCTGTCTCTTAATGCCTGTGTCAATGAGTTCCACAGGTTACCTACATGTTGTGTAAATCTGTCCCCTACTACTTTCAGTGGAGGTCCCCTAGTTCTAGTATTGTGGTGAAAAATGGTTCCTATTCACTGCCTTCATGATTTTATAGACTTCTGTCATATACCCACCTCAGCCTTCTCCTTTCCAAACTGAAGAGTCCTAGCTTGTTTAGTCTCTTCTGGTATGAAAACTGGTCCATATCCCTGACCATTTTGGTTGCCCTTCTCTGTATCTTTTCTAAGTCTACCATATCCTTTTTGAGATGTGAAGGCCAGAACTACACACAGGATTCAAGATATGGATGAAACATGTATTTGTATGATGGCATGATGATGTTCTGTTTTGTTTTCTGTTCTCCTCTTAATGGCTTATTTGGTCGCCACTGCACATTGAGCTGAAATTTTTAGAGAACTGTTGTCTCCAATGACTCCAAGGTCTCTCTTTCCTGAGTCATAACAGCCAGTCAAAACCAGGCATTGTGTATGTATAATTGGAGTTATTTTCCCCAAGGGCATTACCTTGCACTTACTGACATGGAAGTTTATCTGCCTTTTTTTCCCCCTCAGTCTGGTGAGATTTTTCTGAAGCTCCTCTCTGTCATCTTGGGATTTGACTACCTGGAATAAGTTTGTATCATGTGCAAATTTGGAGATTTTACTGTTCAGCCTTATTTCTAGGTCATTGAAAAGGTTGAACAAAACCTGACCCAACACAGCTTCCTGTAGGACCCCAATTTTGACCTTCCTCCATCCTGAAAGGTGACCATTTAGCCCTATCTTCTGCTTCCTGTTTTTTAACCAACTCTTGGTCTACAAAAGAACCTCCCCTCCAATCCTGCAATAACATTTTTTTAAAAATCCTTTGGTGAGGGGCCTTATAGTTTCATAGTTGTTAGGCGCTGGAAGGGACCTTACAGATCATTGGATCCAGCCCCCTGCACTTGGGCAGGAAAGACTGCTGGGGGCAGATGACCCCAGCAAGATGGGCATCACGTCGCTTGCTGAAGATTGCCAGGGTGGGTGACTGTACCACCACCGGGGGGAGCCTGTTCCAAACCCGTGATACTTGACTTGTAAGGAAGTTTTTCTTTATGTCAAGCCTGAAGCAATCTTCAATCAGTTTGTGTCCTCCCCTGGGTGGCCTTGATGAACAGATGCTCCCCCAGGCCCTGATGTACTCCCCTGATATAGGCTGCCTCCAAGTCCCCTTGTTTCAAAAATCCAAATATATTGGATCCCCCTTGTCCATGTACTTGTTACTCTCAGCAGATTGGTAAGGCAGGATTTACCCTTTTTGTCAAGGTTGAAAAATGAAGTTAAAATGTATACAAACAGAAGACTACATAGAGCAATTAAACGATGATGGATCTTGAATTTCATGTGCCTGCAGATGTGGACTTTTTGGTTGCATCTGATACATAGTTTGGTTGCATCTGTTGGAGGTGGATTTGAGCACCCGTAGCTCTCATTAGCTTCTCTTGAAATTTTGATTGCTGGTAGTTGGCCTTTCTGACTGACTAGTTTTTCAAATGGTGGCCAACACCCAAAGCCTCTGTCCTGCATTAAGCAGAGACCTAAATATTTAAGACAAAGGTTTTAATGCCAAAAAAGTAGACTTCAAAATACTTCAGATTTTATTACTCTTACACAGCAGTCTATTGTTCTGATGCCAGTTCTGAACAATCAGCTTGAAATGTAGAAGTAACTTGATCAGGTAAATAGTAATTTCAAAGCAAAAAATGGGGAAAGTACAGAACTTGGGATCCAGCTAAAACAATTGGAGTGTTTTGAATCCTATTGCTCTCAAAATATATTGACTACATACAGAAAGGAGGATTATACATAGAATGTTCTGTCTACCGGGGAGTTATTTTCCTCCCAGCATGGTTATGCTGTTGATCCATTTCCATGGTGTTATTTCTCTTGTTCTTATATGACAACGCATTTAATAGAGGTGACATCAAATTAAAATTTAACTTCTTGGCATTATGATTAGGGACTATGATACACTTCTACAATATCCTCTCTCGGTAGTCCTGTAACTCTTATTAGCAGAAGGTTGATTGGGAATAACAGAAATGAGTGTTTCATGACACAGCTTTTCAATCATTGCAAATGACATGGTTACAACTACAACATATTCATTATAGATAATTGTATAAATATTAAAATGCTCCTTAGGATTTAGGCCAGAACTCAGCAGCATCACATTGTAAATTCATTTGGTTTTCTAAATGCCATTTTTTGTTTATTTTATTAAAGGTGTTGCATTATTTACTTATGAGGATGCGGGTGGGTGGAAGAGATGTTTATTCAGGCATGTCACTTTAAATGCTTGCAGTATTAATGTAAACACGGCTGTCTTTTTCTCCATTAATAAACAAGATCTGCCTGGAAGCCATACTAGCCTCTCTGGAGTTTTAATTGTTACGCAGGGAATACAAAATGCATGTTACAAGGCTCCTTAATATGGTACCTAATGCTAATGTTTATTTTGTCTTGGATGTTTTTGTATGGTAGAGGATAGAGACTTAACTCAGGGTATCAAAGTCTTGGCCCATGGGGGTGGGGGGGGGTGTTCTTTAGTTAGTGGTAGAAGGCTTTTGTTGGATGTTTTAAAGTGGGGATACTCAAAGTTTTATTTGATGGAGTAGACTCTATTAATAGTTTTGGGGGTGAGTGAGTGGGGAAAAGCAATCACTCAGCTGCCATTTCCTAATCTCATAAGGTCCTTGTGTGCTATCCACAGAATTTTTTAGGAGAACTTATAAAATAATTGGGAAATCATTGGGTGTTTTTAACTTCTTTTACTATAACTTAGCAGCCAGAAACTAGTAGAGATCACACCAAATGTCCAGCCACTTCTCTTGGGATTGCCAGCAAGTGCTCTGTTTGAGATACTTGCTCTGACACAGATGCATCGTGTGAGAAGCATTTTCCACCATCTCTGTTACCAGGTATATTATTATTTTTTTAATTTTGTTTCTGAATTTGCATTGTTTGTCTCTCCTAACCATTGCAAACATCTCGTATCTATCTGGTGGTTATGTCCACGTTCTCTGCAATGTGTTTAGGAAACTAAAAGGATCACTCTGCTATTCTTCATACATTTTGATATATTACAATATTTCACTTGCTATTTTAAATCTGCTGAAAGCTTCATTTTGTTTATTTAAAAAGTGATGCTGGCAACCAAATGAAAAGAAATGAGTGCTTGGTATAATAGTCCTTAGCATAGATCCTTGAAAAGGGCCTTACATGGAAGGATTACATATACAAAGAATTATTGGATTTGTAACAGTACCTTCAATAAACTGCCATGTCTGGGAGATTGCTGTACCCCTACACTTATCTGTAGAAGGATTGTGGAGAGAGTGGCCTATTTTCATCAGTCTTTAAAAAGAATGGATGGGAGGTGTTTTTATTGCCCTTTGATCTTGATTGCCCTACA